TAGCAGTTGACAAGCCCAGAATCACTAAACAATCAATCAGTAAAGTTTGATTTTGAAGAATGAAATATCACTTCGCTACTTTAATATCACATTTTAGAAATATTTTATAAACTGTAATACACAGTTTAGTATGCTATTGTAATTAAAAGGTCTGTTCGAATTTCCAGGTTTTATGTTAGATTATATTTGCCCATTGATTTGCACTAATATATGGAAACTTACTTTCTCACTTTTACTTTTGCATACATTATATTTACTTCGTGAATGAAATCCTATACGTTTAGTTACAATATCACTACCACGTTCACCTGCAGTAAATATCACCAGCAATTTCGACGAAACACTTAAAATTAGGGATAATTGTTTTCTTAAACAAATTGCAGTAAAAAACAATCAACTACAGTAACAATTTTTATTTACAATGAACTCAATTGTACAAATTCTCACAAGTAATTTATTTAACCCATTTAACAAATTTTAATCATAAAAATGTAGTCATATAATAATCTCAACACTCTCTCAACGAATAGATATAGACTAATTTTAATTATCTTTCTTGAGAAGGCCTAGCTTTAGAATCGAAAAGACAACATTCATTGTTACAATGTACCAAGCATCTACCGTATTGTAAGTACTGGGCCCAGTGAAAAAGTCTGTTTCTTCTATTGCTGTGTATACAGATTTCGTATAATAAGGCAAACTTAAAAGACATAATAACAAGCAACATTCTTGGCTGTTATAAAATAAATGAATGGCAAATATATGTATTTCTCATTGTTCGTTTAAAATTGTACAACCTTTCATTGAAGAACATTTCTAGACTTTTTGTGCCAACAATTACTATTATAAAGAAGTATAGCTTACGATGTACGTAGAAAACAGTTCCCATTAATAGTCGTATTCAGATATTAACTCATTCTACGTGCAAATACATACACGGTTATTTGTCCTATCAATCAACGTTCTGTCTCTCTCTTTCACACTTACAAAGAGTTTGACAATATTTCTTCATATATGACCCATTTTCAATCGATATTTTGCTAAACATATCAAGAGTTACTTATAGATGAATATTTAAAAACGTAATAGAAAATAGTAAATTGAAATACTTATTTTTTATTAAATATATTTAACAATTCATACATATGAATCTGAAATAGTACACGGAACAATTACAAAAGTTACATCATCTATTCTTAGTTTAGGATGATGTAATAGTATACGACTAACTGAAACAGTGAGAACAATATTGCCGTGGAAGCACAAATATCGTATCTGCAACAGAGTTCAAAATGCTAAATCAAGCTTTAAATTTTAACAATGTTCCTTAGTAGATCTCCAGCGTATTGAAGCGTTCAATTGATAGCTGTTGATTTGAAATTACTTGGTAATTATAGGTAGTGGATACTACTTTAATTGCTTAAAATTTTCCCACTTATATAACGTTTGTAATATATGTAAAAGAAGGATATACCAGTTTATTGGAAAGATTTTTTATACTTTCCGTCCATAATAAGACCATTAACATTTGGAATAACATATTGCAGAGAGACACAAAGTAACAATCGCTCAATTTGGTACAAAAATACAAATACTACCTTTCTGCTTAGTACGACAGAATGGAAGACAACAGCATTATGTCGCGAAAACAATAATGTCATAACTGTCTTAACCATCTTAACATTGCAATTAAACCACTCTTGCTATTGCGTAAGACGAAAGTTATAACGCTCTCACTACTAGAATTAATCCTCCTATAACGGCATTTGACTTGCATTTCCCTCCTACTGTCATTGGCATCATCGCGATTATTAAGGGCGTGATAATGGTCCTAATAATCGGACTGGCTGTTGTGTACAGAGCTTTCTAAAAAGAAAGGATGACTTACACAATCATGTGTGTCCTCAGCGAGACACCCCTAAATTTTTCGCCAGCCCATGAGTATATTTTTGATACACACGATTGGACTTTTCATTACTCTCTGTATCCTCCGGGAACACAGATACAAGCAAACTAAATGACAGAATTGTGTATCTGGGCCCTCGGAACAGAACAGTGTTATTAATCTGAAGTTGTCTCTCCTGATGTGATATCAACACCATTGTTGAGATGTGCATGCTATCAATAAGATAGACAAAATTATGTACACAATTGTCAATAGGGTAAAATTCCCTAGTAGTCTGGAATAAAGCTTTTCAGAAAGGTCAGAATATTGTTGTCATGATTTATCTGCGGAGGACGCTGACGAATACATGTTCTTTATTCGGACTCACTGGAGTATTGATTCCCGAAAACAATAAAGGGTCTTTATACATTCCGGTTCCATACATACAGTCGTAAGTATGGTTTCGTACAGTCTGATTTCAAAATATTCATACAGGCATTTTTAAGTGAATTTGAGGGAGCAATTACCTCTTTCTTACGTTTGCTGCCGAGGCAAAAGAAAGAAAAGGTGACATCACCCCAAGGAAGAGGCAAAGGATGAATTGAACGAGTGTGATCCGCCGCGGTCGCTCCACCATATTTCAAAATAGCCACGTTGATCTAACTGCTGAAGTATTCGTATTGCGATCAAATACTAAAATCGATAATTACAAAATGAGACAATAATGAGCAAAAAATCAGCAGTTTAATCCACCGTTAACTCGAAAATTACAGGCTTTAACACACACTTTTAAAGATTAGTCTGAGCCACAGAAATCAGAATTCAAAACTGCAAGACAAAGATACTCTGCGGGCAATTAAATGTATGTTATGTAGAATGTATTTTAAATATATGCAGATTTCATTGAAATAATGTGATCTGAAACCAGAACGTTATCAAATAACTGTCAAATATAAAATAAATTTGTAGATATATTGTAGTATATTGAAATGAATCCACAGTATCAATTTTCTGATATATTAAAAAAAGGAAGATAACAGAGTATATTAAAAGTAAGATGGGAAAATAACGGAGTATCTTTGTCATCTGTCATCCGTACAGGATAAACATAAAGTGTGTGGAAAAGGGGCCAGGGTTCTTAAATGTCTAGTTTTAGCAATCTCACTTTCAAAATTGAGATTGCTTAACACTTATTTTTATATTACGGCCTCAAACACCGAGCCACCCCTTATCTACGAAGAGGACTTCGTCTCCACCGTGCGCCACGCAAGTGGTTGGTCTGCGGGCCTTATCGCGGCTCTCTGCTTAAGTCCAGCTCTTCGGCGTCGTCCTTGCGTGGGTTCTCCGCCGGAGGCTTCGGCTGGGGATCCTGCGACCCCTCGGGTTCAGGAGACCCCGACGACCCCGGCGACCCCGACGTCTCCGGGGATTCCGTGGACTCCGGGGCCCCCTCAGACCCCGGCGGCCCCTGAGGCTCCTGGTTTTGACTTTGGTTGGTGCCGTTCCCTCCAGCTTCTTGGTTGTCGTCGTAGTCATCGCCTCCCGCGTCTGTGCCTCCGCTGCCAGCTCCCGTGTTGTCCCCTGGGGTGCCCCCGTCCCCGCCGCCATTCCCGTTGCTGTTGCCGCCCGGGTCGCTTCCGCCGCTGCCGTTGTTGCTGTTGTTGCTGTTGTTGTCTCCCTGCGAGCCTGCGTCGCCACCCTGGTGGCCTCCTCCGCCCCCGTGATCGTGTCCATGGCCTCCTTCTTCCTCCGATTCGGACAGACACTGCCCTCGATGGTGCCTCTTCAGCCCTGGGCAACGATTTTGCAAATCTATTTCCACCTCCTGTTTTCCGCATACCAGAAATTACCACATGAATAAGTAAAATATTAACCCTTCAACACGGAACCGAGGATAAGTGCCGTAGAATTAATAGGCGGATTAAAGCAAAAGAATTGTGTACTTCAACACGGTAGCAGGTAGCAAGAGCAATGCGCTAAGACTGAGACTCCACATCTTTACATCGCATCCATCCGCCGAGAGTTAAATCGCTTCACATCTTGGAAGGAGCATCCCCTAACAGAGTTAAAAGAAAACCGTCGTCCCAAGATGGCATTCCGCGATGATAGATGTAAACTATGAATGGTAGTGTAGCAATTGGGCACTGAGGACCTTAAGCCACTCAGTTTCACTACGAGACCAAAGACCGTGTCTTGCGTGGGCAAGATGCATTGAAAGGTGTGAAGTCTGCATTACGATACTTAGACACTGAAGACAATGCAGAATCAAGTATGGAGAGAGCACGAACTCTGGAGAAGAAAATTACTAATAAAAATTCTCGAAGCAAACAATTGAAAATAATTATTTATTTAGGAAAAATAAAGATATTAAAATTTTCAGACTGTGGGGTTAATATATTTTGCTGCTTCTCTATATTAATTAAATCAATCGGTGTGGAGAAATTATATTTAATTTTGATATCATCAGATATAGTGAACCGCTGATATAGTGAACCGCTGATATAGTGAACCAAAACTGTAAGTCCCTAGGGAGGGGCTAGGGGCGTGTGGGAGGGGCTCACCTTCGTTGTTGGCCATGGCGCACATGAGCGCGAGCGGGCTGGCGTAGGTGATGCCGTCGTTGGCGCACACGGGGTCGACGCGCAGGGCGTCGGGCACCAGGCGCAGGCGCTCGCAGGGGGTGTCGGCCGCCTCGCACGGCATGTTCAGGCGCACGATGCGGTCTGCCACGCCCCCGCGCAACCAAGCAAAGAAGCAGGCGAATAAGTAAATACATGAATAAAAAATTATATTTTTGCTATGCGTTAAATGAATCAATTATCAATAAATTAATAAATACCCGATCGACTGGTAGATATCGTTAGGAGAGATCCCAAAATTTAGAAAACGTTTACAGAATACCATTATCCCCGTAGCATGCTCATATAGTTTTAACTGATGGTCTTACGTAAATTTAAAAAAATAAAAAATAAATAAACGGCAAAATAGCCGATAAGCCGGCCTAGATCGTTAAGGTAGTTGTGCCCTAGATGTCTCGGACCAGATGATCGTGGGTTCGGGTCCCCATTCCGTCACGGTTGTGTTGTGTATGTCTCAATGTGTGTGTCGTCATTTCGCCCCTCACCATCGTCATCATTTCATCTTTCGCACCCTCTTTATTGACAACCCTATGGATTAAAATCTGATCTAGCTAAATGCTGATTCCATGGTAAATTACATTCAACTTCCACAGAGATGATGTTACTGAGCCCCGGTAAATGCAGAGTGTATGCACACGTAGTCCAAGTTGGCATATTTGCGAACAAAAATAAATAGTTACACGTTTTAGATCTGATGTCAATTATTTAGTAATTAGGTAAAACAAAATATTTTTTCAAATCAGTTTGACGTCATATACTATTGTAGTGAATTAAAAACTTACCTTGTGAAAAAATATTGTATTAAAACTTAAAAATACTTGATGTAGTAGTACAATCCCTAAACTTTCCTTTTTCTTGTGATGGCATATTTATTGAATTGTCTCTTACCCGATATCTTTTGTAGGTGATTAATATTAACCTATTTATATTTTGTACAGAGATAAAGCACAGTACACGAAATATATGAAGGACTTGAAGCAGTAACAAGATTAGCAACGCACCCAAATTACACACAAAATATCCTATTTTCGAAAAATTGCACTTCGCCTTATTTGAAAATATTTTTTGACGAACACATTAAGAAACCTAAAATATAAAAAAGTTCATAATTGTAGTTGTAGGAGGTTTCCGCAAAAAATTAATTTTTGATATTTTTGGAAAATTATTAATTTTAACGAAAATCAGATGTGTACCATTTTCTTAAGCGTCCCTTACGCTATCCAAAGTCAAACTTTCATCAAAAAATGTATTGCCTTTCTTTAAATTTGGAAAATGTTCCAGATTTCATTTACCATACAAGAGTTTATTTACAATACCCCGCAAAATGTAAATATCGGTTTCAAATTTAAGGAGCCGAGACATCAAATAGATCTAATGAGAATATCAATTTTGGAAAAAAATAGCTGAACTGCTAGCGTTGTTCTCAGACAAACGGGCAATCAGATGGACGTTTTGCCGTCAATTGATATTTCGGTTTTATGGACCCACAAAACATGGATTCTCCCTAAACCATGTTCTTGAAGAATTTTTTCTATAAGTAGCAACTGGATTTATCCACTTTTTCGTTACCATTGCCTAACAATAATGAGTTTTTGTATCAAATGTTTTTTATTCTCACGGCCATAACTTTCTCTATACTGAGTAAGCGGTAGCGAGAAAGTAAAAAATAAGAATGAACTTAGAATAAACGTATACTTGCGTATTCGAAAAAGAATCAATAGTGTTCAAGAAAAAAGCCTTACGAGGACTTTCTAAATAGCCACAACAATGAAAGCTGAAAAGCATTTCCTTCAAAAAATGGAAAAATGATATCTCTCTGATACGATTATCAATCTTTAAGGATGTAGAGCATACAGATAGTCTTACAATTATTATTGCAGATTTGCAATCATTTTATACAGTGAACTATGAATGGTGAGTACGTCGTAGCTTTAGGTTAGGTCATGGAAATTAATAACCTCTGATCTGTCCAGGGAATAACATGCGAGTACTCAATCGGTTTTTACTTTCTATGTACGATATGGAGAGAAAGTTAAGTAATGCTCCGCGAAAAAAACAACGAGTTTTTGGCAGAAAAACTCTTATTACAGGTCTCTAGTAACGAAAAAGTGGATAACTCCAATTGCTAAATTGAGAAACAAAATCCTCTATCAAGTGGTGGTGGCCAGAATCCATGTTTTGTGGGTCCTTATTACCGAGAAATCGAATGACAGCAAAACGTCTGTGCGCCTGTCCCCTTTTCTGCCCGTCCCTCTGTAAACAACACTAGCAGTTAAACCGTTCAAACGCTTTTCTCCAAAATTGTCTTCCTACATCTAAAATATTAAAGATAGAGATTTTACCCTTTATCAAATCTGTTCCGTAAATATTCATTTTGATATAAAATAATAGACAATTTTTCGATAGTTTGAGTAAATTTTGGCGTAAATTTGCGTGAAAATACGAAGGTGAACGTATATGGTGTTTTATTACCACTAGTTTTCTATAATATTTCCGTGACATCCGTAATTGATATTTTTTCTCTAAGTTTACCACAAGAATATTAGTAACCGCTAAAATAGATAATTATCTTCTGTGTTTTGATGGTATGTGCTTTATAACATGAAAACCTAATGATTATTTTCGCATTGAAGCCATTTCATAAATGTGAATTAAGCAACTTACTCGAAATTTCTTATATCCTGCTTAAGCAAGTAATAGTGGTATGGAAATATTTACAAAGACAAGAGTTTGTTATGCAGTATTTCCTGTCAGATATTCTGTTGTGTAGTTATATGCTATTTAATAAAAAAAGATTAGCCTTTTGTTTAATACAATTAAAGCAAATAGAAAATCTCGATGTATATTTTTAATTAAAATGAACTATAAAGCCAGTTTCAATTTAATTTTTTTTAATTGGTTAAAGAAATATTTGATGCAGAGATTATTAACTTTTCCCTTAGATGTAAAATACCTAAACTCTTAAATATCCAATTTACTCTTATTTGTACATTTCATTTAGACATTTTCCCCTTCAGCAGGAGAACATGTGCTCATTAGTAGATAAAACGTATATCTAAATAGCCGCTGAGAGTGCTATTAACAACTAAAATAAATGTTTTTAATTTATTAAAGAAATGATTGACGGGAATTCGAGATAAATATTCCTTCTGAAAAAGTCCTTAGCTGCACGCATTGAAAGTTTTCTAGTATTTAAACATTTAATTTACTCAAAATTTTCGTTCTGAAGGAGCTAGAGGCGTTAAGTGCTCATTTACAGCTTCAAATTCCAACAGAATCGACTCGGCAGCGCTGTAATTACGGCGTGGTCGGCGTGGTCGGCGTGGTCGGGCGTGGTCGGGCGTGGTGGGCGTGGTCGGCGTGGTCGGGCGTGGTCGGCTTGGCTTCTTAGTGAGTTCGTAACGTACACCACTTAGTGTTGCTTCAAACTGAGCAAAACTCTCTAGGGTGGACCAACCCTTCAGCGAAGCGTGACGTAGAGGTTAGAAAGCTCACCTCCAACCGCAAGGTACCGGAGTTCTGTTCCTGGCCAGTGCATTTTTCCATTTACTACAAAAACTACACATGTGTTTAGATGGTTAAACAATTAGAACTTTACAAATGCCGTGCTA